TGCTCCTGAGATTACCTGGTACTCATGCTCCTGAGAGCACCTGGTACCCATGTTCCTGAGAGCACCTGGTACCCATGTTTCTGAGAGCACCTGGTACCCATGTTCCTGAGAGCACCTGGTACTCATGCTCCTGAGAGCACCTGGTACCCATGTTTCTGAGAGCACCTGGTACCCATGCTCCTGAGAGCACCTGGTACTCATGCTCCCCTTTTATTTGTTTTTGATGGTCTATTTGCCCACATTTGAAAAAGGGTAAATAGACCATAAAAAACAGGAGATGCTCAAATATACTGAAATAATAAAATATATGAAAACAGAGAAATTTAAGATAATAAATATGATAGAATTATTAAATAAATATATACCCAATGTTTAGTAAAAGAGCATTAAAACACTTAAGTTTTTTGAAATTAAAAAAATAAAACACTGGGGGAAAAATGTATTGGATTAATAATCGAAGTAACCACCAGATGAACAAAGTCATCGTTAGTTGCTGCCCTAGTAATAACAGTTCCCTTTGTTTGCTACGGTCCGTCTAGCCGATCATGATATTGCTGTGTCATTGTTTTTTCTGAGCGTCTTTTTTTCAATTGTTCCCAATAATCAGAGAGCGCATGCGGCCGCCTAGAGCTAAAGCGCTGCACCCGACATCTTATTGAGATTTCTGAGCTTCCAGTTTAAAAGCTCTGAACTTTCCAGAAAAGCACTGCTGACGTCACTGTAGTAAATGGAAGAAGCCGTGTCTCCTAAACTTTATACGTCAGACAAATGTTTTATTAATAAACACTCTAACGTCAAAGACTGAAACGGCTATTAGTGGGAGCATATAATCCGGGCGGACACTGAATGCTGCCTGCGAGTGTTGCGCTTTTAACGTTGTACGTCTGGCCTTGCTTCAACGGTACGGCTGTCAGACTGACATTTGACAAGCTCATTCATACAAAGTATGAAGGACATGTCCCCTAATTTGTGCTCATAGTTAAAAAACATTGTCAAACAATAAATTATAGCCCAAATAGATAATATAAAAGCAAAGGAGCAACACTAATCTACCATACAAGAGGTTAGAGTGGTGATATGTTGTCAAGACGTGATGTGGACACGTTGTGGCCCTAACAATGTTTGCTATTGCTTCTACTATTTCTGTTGCTGGTTTTACAATATCAAGTGCCTTTTAGTACCTCACAAATAGAGTATTATTATTATTATTATTATTACTATTATTCTGCTGGACAAGGGGGTCCTCAGTTGCTGAGCAATGAGCAAAAGGTCTTCACAAGTGAGAGTAAGATGCTACATGAGATCAACAGATGGATTGGTTGTGGCTTCAGGTGTGGCCATTGTGCTGGACTACTGAGTGGAGCCTGAAGGTGAAGCTCTCACTTAGCAGTCAATCTACGTTCCAAGCCTCATGGTCATAAGGTTTGAGGTGTGACCAGATGAAGGACATTGTGGACATGAGCAGAAGAGATCAGTGTCCTTGGCGGGGTGGCCCGGTTAGGAGCTGAGACATCTGGAAGGACCTAGGAGTTGAACTGCTGTTCCTTTGCTTCAGAAGAAGCCAGTTTAAATGGTTTTGGAATCTGATTATGAGGCCTCCTGGAAGCCTTTCTCGTCCAACTGGGAGGAGACCCCGGGACTGGAGGAATTACATATCCCATCTGGCCTGGGAATGTCTTGGGATCCCCAGGATGAGCTGGAGTACATGGCTGGACAAGAAAGACGAATGGACTTGTTGCAGAGGCCCTCGGAAATGTCAGAAAATGGATTGGCAGGATGACTAGAAATGACAAAGCCATGAAAATAAGACCAAAGTGGTGTGAAGCTGGAATTCCCCACTACGTTTCTGTATAGATATGCGTGCTACACAAGAGCAAGGTGCTGCTGATTCACGTTGTACCTCGGGCCACAATGCACCAACTGTGCTGTGCGCTCAAAACCCGGCAATGTTTACACAATAATCAGATCACTGTTGATAAGATGTTTCGAGGAACGCTCTATTAGTATTCCTTTTTCATGCCTGACTAATAACTGACAGCTCCCACGACCACTTAGTGCTACAATATCAGTTCACCCTCCAGATTCCACCTCAAACATGATGTTGTGCTGCTGTGTGTAACCTTTTGGCTATGTTTATTTAAGGATATACCGAAATATATTGTTTTACAACTTGGGTCTTATTCTTGTTGTTTTGTGTGCCATTTCTAATAATAACAAGGAATATTGTAATAACCAAGCTAATTGCTGAGATCTGGGAACATATCAACATCGGTAAAGATTAGTCAATGGGTTAAGAAACTGTATATAGACTTCCCTCTCCTGTGCAAAAGTGAAGCCAAAATAGTCCAGATATGGCCGCTGCCATCTTAAACCAAGCCCAGCCACAGCTTGATTCCTGATGATAATGATAATATCTCTATAAATACATGAAGGATCAAACTGATGCATGTTCTGTTACACAGACTCGGGATTCGTCAAACTGCTGACACTGATATGAACACACACGCCAGTCCACAGTGCTGGCTAGCCTTACTGTCAGTGGAAACTTTGCTAAGCTAGTTAGTTTATGTCTATGTTTGAAACAGACAATCGGTTATTTAAGATATACTCAAAATGACAGAAACCATCTTTGGGGAGAATGTATTTGATGTGTACTTTTGGCCCATGTCCCATCTGCTCATGTGAAGGGGGCGGGGTTTATCACGTATACTGCGGCCAGCCACCAGGGGGCGATCGATATGTTTTGGCTTCACTTTTGGGGGAGCCTCATGTCAACCATTTTTATATTCAACCTATGAGTCAGACCATCAGACAGGTTAGTCAAACAAAAAAAGAGTTAGCCAGCTGCTAGCCCTCTGTGGTGTCAAAGGAGACACTGAAGTGGCCTTGTTCTGGATAAATACCTCTTCCACTTTTACTGTGGAGTCTTCTGAATTATTAAATGCAATATCTACATATATGAGCCTATTGTTTTGAAGAAAATTAATGTAGGTGCTGCACACAATCTAATAATGCGTGTGTGTGTGTTTCAGACCGTGGAAAGGGAAGGCAGAGACAGGCCATTTTAGGAGAACACCCATCGTCCTACAGTGATAACGGCTACGGTAAGACACCTAGAATGAAACTGGTAACTGAATCTGCTGCCGAACACAAGGCTGCTATTTACTCGACAGATCCTCATACCGCTGAGGTGAAACGTGACACTTCCTCACCTACACACACATTCACTTAGCATCGGTGTAGTCTGCCAGGCGTGTACTGGTCAGAGGTGCAGCAGTGGGTATACCTTCACCTGCATTGGGAAACAGATCCCTGCCACGCTCATTGATGCAAAGAGATAGTTTGCATGTTTTTGAAGTGGGTTTGTATGAGGTCATTATTCATAGTCAGTGTGTTGCCTACAGTAGATAACGGTCAGAATGCAGAAAGCTTGTACTGACTTTAAACCGCTTAAAGAAAGGCCCACCAAAAATATCAATATCAGTTTAAGAGTACGCTATCTTTGCTATATTTACCTAGCTGTTAGCATCTCAGCTCCTACCGTCTCTGCCTCCTCAGGTTCACCCTGCCCCCTGCTGCCTCTGCCTGGCAACAGCAGGTACAAGCTGACCTCAGCGGACGTTCCAGACATGGTGTCCTATCCGCTGCCCCAGTCCTCCTCCTCATACTCTGCCCAGACCCCCAGCTCCGTTGCCATGGTTAGCGGCCTCCATTCATCCAAGATGAACTGCACCCGCATCTTCAACCTCTTCTGCCTGTACGGCAACATTGAGAAGGTAGGTGTGTTTGAATTTCTTAAAGGGGGTCTTTGATGGCTCGCTGTTTCATAATGTCTATTATAGAAACAAAGAAACTGTTGTAACTATGGTGTCACACCAGCCACTGCTGTTTGGGTGATTACGTTTTTGTCCACATCACTAACATTGTGATCTCGTTAATATCCAGAATGAAAGAGTGATTATAGCGAGCCAAACCTGTTTCAGTCTCCACCCGGCTATTGTTTTCAGATACACTCGAAAAGTTGTGAACCTATCCTTTTTATTAGTGTTCTATCTGAAAAGGTGAGTCGTGTATGTTGCTTCTGTAAGACAGCTGGTCACAGTGTGTGTGTGTGTGTGTACGTTCAGGTAAAGTTTATGAAGAGTGTTCCTGGCACAGCGTTGGTTGAGATGGGAGATGAGTATGCTGTGGACAGAGCCATCACACACCTCAACAGCATCAAGGTGTTCGGCAAGAGACTCAATGTCTGGTGAGAAGTAGATCAACCCACACACTCTTTATTATTGTCATTATTTATTATTTATAGGTTTGTTATCATGTCTGTCAAATGTAAATGTCCTAAATGATACATCCAAAATGTTTCACATCTATCTCAGTCCGTGTTAGAAATAGTCTAATATATGCATAGAAGGACCTGCGGCTCTATAGGTTCATTCATCTCCTCATTAGTCTTTTCAACTCGTTTTGCCTTTTGAAATGTGGAAAACTATAGTAGTAGATGCCAAGTCACAAGTTCCCAGAGTCGGAGGTGACGTCTTCAGATATTTATCTAACAATCCAAAAAGCCAAAGATTATTAATTGACTGTTATAGAACAGAAACATTTGAGATGATAAAAACAAATGTTACTTTAACATGTTAAACACCTTTTGTGTTTGTGGATCAAGTGACAAAATCCGGTTCTGAAAAGTGAAGCCGATGCTGAAGTGTCTTAAAGCTGTATTCTCTCTAGTGTCCACCAGGGGGCGACTCCTCTGGTTGTATAGAAGTCTATGAGAAAATGACTCTACTTCTCTCTTGATTTATTACCTCAGTAAACATTGTAAACATGAGTTTATGGTCTCAATCTCTAGTTTCAAGTCTTCTTCAATACAGCATGATGTTCATTTAGTACATTATGGTCCATTTAGAGTCAAACAGACCATAAAGCAGGGGATGCTTTAGGGCGGGCTTACTGTGATTGACAGGTCTCTGCCAAGGCGTTGTCCTGTCTGGTAGTTGTCCGTCTTTTAACTTTAACCCTTTCACAGCATGTTTTCACTTCATCAAAGTTAATTGTAACATTTTTATGCATAAAAATGTCTTATTCAGCGTTCAGTTGTAATTAGCTCCACCCTTTAGTGACACTTCTGGTTGCAAACAAACAAGATGGCGACGGCCAGAAAACAAGATGGCAACAGCCAAAATACCAAACTCAAGGCTTTAAAGCCAGTCCACAACCCAACAGGTGAAGTCACAGTGTAATAATACAACTAACAATACATTTAATGAAACAATGGGACGATCAAAATGTTCTTGATCCCTTTGATGTCAACCAAACAAATAATTTGATCAACTATATATAAATCTATAAAGCTGATATCAGAGGTGCAGTTTCTCACATGGACGTAGTCTCCGTGACGCGACCCAGAGGTTTCTGGGAGCCGTTGTGAAGCTCATAGTGGGCTTCTCTGGCCGTCACCATCTTGGCAGTGCCACAGCCCTCAAAATGATGGTGATTATGATTTTGGCCATAATGGTGCAGCCCTGGTTTGGATGCTTCAGCAGTAGATGAGGTCCCTGCCCCGTGGCCTGTGGGTGGCGCTTTAAAGCCAACAGTCTCAACATTTGATTCTTTTCAACTGCTTTGGATGTTTTGATGTCACGACTGCATACAGACCTGACATGTTGTCAGTGTGTTGATGGTATTTGGGCTGTGTTCTGTAGAACACGTAGACGTGCATGATTGGATCAGGTGACTGTGGTGTTGTGTTGTGTGCAGTGTGTCGAAGCAGCACGCAGTGATCCCCAGCCAGGTGTTCGAGTTAGAGGACGGCAGCAGCAGCTACAAGGACTTTGCCATGACGAGGAACAACCGCTTCAGCAGCGCCGGACAGGCCTCCAAAAACATCATCCAGCCTCCGTCTGCAGTGCTGCACTACTACAACGTCCCTCCGTGCATATCACAGGAGCATTTACTGAAGGTACGGCCCCTCCGTCTGTTGTACTTTAAAGTACTTCCCCGTCTCTGGTAGAGTGAAGGTTCTGAGGTTTTGCAATATTAAGTTGCTCTCTTTACATTATGGAATAATTACTGTTTACTTATTTGCAAATCTCTTCAGCAAAACTATAGTTTTGTTAGGATTGTATTAATAAGTCCCCAATTCTTCAAAAACATCCATCCATCCATCCATTTTCCTCCGCTTATCCGGGGTCGGGTCGCGGTGGCAACAGGCCAAGCAGGCTGACCCAGACTTCCCTCTCACCGGCAACATGTTCCAGCTCATTCTGGGGGATCCCGAGGCGTTCCCAGGCCAGCTGGGAGATGTAATCCCTCCAGCGTGTTCTGGGTCTTCCCCGGGGTCTCTTCCCAGTTGGACGTGCCTGGAAAACCTCCAGTGGGAGGCGTCCAGGAGGCATCCTAATTCGATGCCCGAACCACCTCAGCTGACTCCTTTCGACGCGAAGGAGTAGCGGCTCGACTCCAAGCTCCCTCCTGATGACCGAGCTCCTTACCCTATCTCTAAGGCTGAGCCCGGCCACCCTACGGAGGAAGCTCATTTCGGCCGCTTGTAGCCGCGACCTTGTCCTTTCGGTCACAACCCAGAGTTCGTGACCATAGGTGAGGGTAGGAACGTAGACCGAGTGGTAAATTGAGAGCTTTGCCTTCCGGCTCAGCTCTCTCTTCACCAAGACGGTCCGGTGCAGCGCCTGCTTTACTGCTGCAGCCGCACCGATCCGTCTGTCGATCTCCCGCTCCATCTTACCCTCACTCGTGAACAAGACCCCAAGATACTTGAACTCCTTCGCTTGAGGTAGGCACTCCGTCTCCACCTGGAGGGAGCAATCCACCGGTTTCCGGCAGAGCACCATGGCCTCAGATTTGGAGGTGCCAACTCTCATCCCCGCCGCTTCACACTCGGCTGCAAACCGCCCCAGTGAATGCTGGAGGTCACGATCCGAGGAGGCTAACAGGACCACATCATCTGCAAACAGCAGAGACACGATCCCGAGACCCCCGAACCTGACGTTCTCCACCCCCAGGCTGCGCCTAGATATCCTGTCCGTGAAAGTCACGAACAGGACCGGAGACAAAGGGCAGCCCTGGCGGAGGCCAACACCCACCGGGAACGTGTCTGACTTATTGCCGAAAATGCGGACACAGCTCCTACTGCAGTCGTACAGAGACCGGAGTCGCCCGTTGTAATGGGTCCGGCACCCTATACTCCCGCAGCACCCCCCACAAGAACCCCCGAGGGACCCGGTCGAAAGCCTTCTCCAAGTCCACAAAGCACATGTAGACTGGTTGGGCAAACTCCCAGAACCCCTCCCTCTTGCGAGGGTAAAGAGCTGGTCCACTGTTCCACGGTCGGGACGGAATCCGCATTGCTCCTCTTGAATCTGAGGTTCGACAAACGGTCGGAGCCTCCTTTCCAGCACCCGGGAGGCTGAGTAGTGCGATACCCCGGTAATTCGGGCACACACTCCGGTCCCCCTTTTTGAAAATGGGAACCACCACCCCGGTCTGCCAGTCCATGGGCACTGATCCCGACCCCCATGCGACATTGAAGAGGCATGTCAGCCAGGACACCCCAACTATGTCCAGCGCTTTCAGCATCTCAGGGCGGATCTCATCCACCCCCGGCGCCTTGCCATCAAGGAGCTTTTTGACTACCTCAGCGGCCTCTGCCAGGGATATGGGTGAGCCTCCCCCTAGATCTTCAGGCGCTGCCTCCTCTGCAGAGGACATGTTGGTCGGGTTTAGGAGTTCCTCAAAGTGTTCTTTCCACCGCCCGACGATGTCCCCTGTCCAGGTCAGTAGTTTCCCCCCCCCCTGCTGAGAACAGCCTGGGGTAAGCCCCGCTTTCCCTTCCTGAGCCGTCGGATGGTTTGCCAGAACCTCCTTGAGGCCAACCGAAAGTCCTTCTCCATGGCCTCCCCGAACTCCACCCATGCCCGAGTTTTAGCATTCGTGACCACTGCAGCTGCAGCCCTTCTGGCCTGCCGGTACCTGTCAGCTGCTTCGGGAGACCCCTGGGCCAACCAGGCCTTGAAGGTCTCCTTCTTCAGCTTGACGGCTTCCCTCACCTCCAGTGTCCACTACCGGGTTCTCGGGTTGCCGCCACGACAGGCACCGATGTCCTTCCAGCCACAGCTCCTAGCGGCCGTGTCCACAATAGAGGCTTTCAACATGGTCCATTCGGATTCCATGTCCCCAACCTCCCTCAGGATATGTGAGAAGTTCTTCCTGAGGTGGGAGTTAAAGACCTCCCGGACGGGGTCCTCCGCCAGATGTTCCCAGTTCACCCTCACTACACGTTTGGGCTTGCCGGGTCTTTCCAACCGGTTCCCCTGCCATCTGATCCAACTCACCACCAGGTGGTGATCAGTTGACAGCTCTGCTCCTCTCTTCACCCGTGTCCAAGACATATGGCCGCAAATCAAATGATACGATTACAAAGTCGGTCATTGATCTCCGGCCTAAGGTGTTCTGGTACCAGGTACACTTATGAGCCACTTTATGTTCGAACATGGTGTTCGTTATGGCCAAACCGTGGCAAGCACAGAAGTCCAATAACGAGACGCCATTCGGGTTCAGATCGGGCAAGCCGTTCCTCCCAATCACCCCCCGCCAGGTTTCTCCGTCATTGCCCACGTGAGCGTTGAAGTCCCCCAGGAGAACTATGGAGTCGGTAGGCGGCGCCCTTTCCAGGACCCCTCCCACCGACTCCAAGAAGGCCGGATACTCTGAACTGCTGTTTGGTGCATAAGCACAAACCACAGTCAGAGCCTTGCTCCCCGCAACCCGTAGGCGCATGGAGGCGACCCTCTCGTTCTCCGGGGAGAACTCCAACACAGCGGCGCTCAGCCGGGGGCTCGTGAGTATCCCCACTCCCGCCCGGCACCTCTCACCCTGGGCAACTCCGGAAAAGGACAAAGTCCAACCCCTCTCCAGGAGCTTGGTTCCAGAGCCAGCGCTGTGTGTGGAGGTGAGTCCAACTATATCTAGCTGGTATCGCTCCACCTCCTGCACCAGCTCCGGCTCTTTCCCCGCTAGCGAGGTGACGTTCCACGTCCCTAGAGCTAGTCTATGCTGCCGGTGATCGGCTCGCCAGGCCTCCTGCCTGACCCACCGCCCCGGTCTGCATTGCACCCGACCCCGATGCTTGTCCCTGCGGGTGGTGGGTCCACAGGGTGGCTGCTCCATGCTGTTTATTTGGGCTGAGCCCAACCGGGCCCCATGGCGAAGGCCCGGCCACCAGACGCTCGCCGACGAGCTCCCCTCCTGGGTCTGGCTCCAGGAGGGTGCCCCGGTTTCCCTGGTCCGTGCGAGGTGGCTGAAGTCCGTGGGCTATTTATCATTAGGGTCGTTTTGAACCGCTCTTAGTCTGGGCTCTCCCCCGAGACCTGTTTGCCTTGGGAGACCCTACCAGGGGCTAATGCCCCGGACAACATAGACCAGGATCACTGAGCCACTCAAACTCCTCCACCACGTTAAGGTGGCGATTCGCGGAGGAGTCTTCAAAAACAATTAACAAATATATTTTCTATTCTATTAAAAATCGGATATTCAGCATGGACATATATTTAAATGACATATGTAATATTTATGTCAATGTGCATCTCTCACCAATACCCAAAACATATAAATCACATTTATGTACATATAAGTACATAAAGCAAAGAAGTCCGTTTTCATAGATGCATGCTGATATATAACGTATGGATGCATTGTTACTTCCATATTCAATTTGACTTACGTATTAGCAGTTTATTGTAAATTGTGTTTGAAATGCATACATGCCTCCATAAATGTTATGTTGTTGCATACAAACCTAGTATTTCTACTAACACTTATAGTTTATATATATTTGGAGAGCAGTGCAGTCCATGTCTGGATGGACCAACATGAGAGACTGGAGGGAGGAGCTGGGTGTGAACCACAGCAGAGTTAGAGCAAGGAGAGAGAAAAGACTTGAAAGAATGAATAAACACAAGACACGGCCATTTATCAGATTTACACATTTTATTATTCATGCAGGTTCATGGTTAAGCCAAATGAGCATGGTAATATTTTACAAGTCTAAATGTCTTTAATGTGTGGAGGCTTGTGTGTGTGTGTGTGTCACATGTGATGGAGCCTTCTCACATATTAGCTGCTGTGTGTGTTTTGGCAGCTGTGTACGGAGCATGACGTGCCTGGCTTCGTCAAATTCAAGATGTTTGATGCCAAACGTAAGTAGAACTTCATTGTGAGATGTTTTATTAGGTTCTTGTTAGAGCTCAGAGGACTTTTGTAGCCTGTGAAAAGGATTCATTTGACTGCTCCTACCCCACTGTGTCACCAAGATATATATATATAACAAGATATTGTTATTTTATATTACTATTGATGACCAAAACTGCAAGAAATCTGAAGTCATCATCGGCCCAAAACACCAAACACACCAACTGCTTCTCCATCGATGGCTCCGCTGTCTCCCCTTCCTCCAACATCCGCAACCTTGGAGTCATTTTTGTATCAATCCTTTCATTTGAATCCCACATCAACCACTTTATCAAAACAGCTGTTTTCATCTCAAAAACATTGCCGGCATCCGCCCATCCCTCTCCTTTTCTGCTGCTTTTCCTCATTCATCGCCTCGAGGCTCGACTACTGCAGTAGCCTTCTTTTTGTTCTTCACTCCAAACTCCTCAAAAAGCTTCATTACGTTCAAAAGTCAGCTGACCCAGATGCTTACACACACTAGCTCCAGAGAACACACCACCCCTGTCCTCCAGAACCTCCGCTGACTCCCTACAGAACATCGCATCCATTTCACACTCCTCATCACCGACAAAACTCTGCATAACATGGCCCCCTCCAACCTATCCGCACTGCTTAAATGGCCCCCTCCAACCTATCCGCACTGCTTTAATGGCCCCCTCCAA